ACACGACCAGACTACCTGCTGGCTGGCAGGAGGATAAAGCCATGGTGCATGCTCAGAGTGAGGGCGCTGCTTTCCTCTGAGAGAGGGTAAAGCCCTGCCATTTGCAGGAACATGGGTGTACCCAGAGGGTAGCATGCAGAGTGAAATGAGCCAGAAAGAGACAAGCGCCATATGACTTCACTTATTCATGGCTAACTAGAAGGAGGGAAGCTAAATAAAGCAAAGAAACTTCTGAGCTCAAGACCAATTAACTGTTGGTTATCGGAAGAGAAGGGGAACAGATAAATTGGGTTAAGGGATTAACTGTCTAAGGAAGGAAGGTGAACTTAATTGCATGCTGATTTTTCAGTGAGGATCATATAAAAGTCTGATATGATGCCATGCTACTTTAATAAAAACTATAAGATAAAAAGAGAACAACAGATATTACCTTTACTTCATGATACAGACAGACTTGGTCTCTCTTTAAAAGCATTGCTGTTTCATTTGAAATTTTCGATTTGTTATTTTCATCTTAAATTTCAAAATTATTAGTGATTACAGTTAACTCGTATCATTAATGACTGGTTAAGACATTCCCTTAATACTTGTCCTTGATGACACACAGCCACACAATTCATTTTTCTGTTAAAAATAATCTGTATTTTCAGTTGAGATAACAACAGAAACTCTAATCTTATCTTTAGACAAAATACCGCAGTATTCCTTCAGGTCTGAAATGACCTTCTTGTGTGTATTTTTCTCTGGTCAATGGTCTGACCTACTTTAGTTATTTTCTTCTTAAATTTCCAAAAATGAAACAGAATTGAGTTGAAAAAGGTATCAGAAAAATACCTAACTCTTATTTGTGGTAATACTCACAGGATCAAGATTCCCGGAGTGGTGAATAATCCATTTTTGATCTCCCAACCAGAGTCTATTTCCAGCGTCCCAGGACTCAAACAACATCTCCTCATTCTATAAACTGCGCCATTATCCTCCCGGACTCCCGTAACGGTCCAGGCTTCCGACCTCAGCAAACACTGACTCGTTGCTGAAAACATGTCCGAAGAGCTACTCATTTTTTTTCTCACTGAAAAGACGAGATTCACAGAGTGTATTTCCAGCGGGCATTAGGACGAGAATGGTTCCCATATATTACGGTGATGGCCTGCTGGATTATTTATGAAATGCTCAGCCTGGCTGCGCTGGTGAAAGATGGGAGCTGGTTATCTGGCCTCCACATGTGGGTGTGGGTTGGGGTCTCCCTGCCCAGACTCCTCCCCTCCAAGCCGCACCTGGACCCAAAGCTGCTGCCCCTCCCTGCTTTCAGGCAGGGCAATGCCCAGGCCACAGGCTCTGTGACCAAATGGACACAGCTGAGAGCTGTTTGCCCCTTAACCCGTCTAACCTCACGTTCCGAATGCCATTTTCTCCGGAGCTGAGAGTGTGGCCTTAGCCCTGGCCAGTCACTAGGTTTCCAGTTCAAAGGCTCAGCCTGGACACAGACTCTTTGGTGATTGTTGTTGATGTTGGCAAGTAAAATAGAGGCATTGTTCACTGGATTTTAAACCTATTTACAAATGCTTTTGTGTTGTGGTTACTGAATTAAGTCTGGAGTGACTGTTGGGAGGAAAGCCACCATTCATTAACTAAAGTCCTTGGTTTTTCTCAAATAAAGAAGACGCAACATTTTCACAAGACAAAGGAGGGAAAGAAGAGATATAAAAAGAATTTCCTGAAATTATTTCTGCTGTTTTTTTTTAAAAAAACCAAACTATTCTCTTTAGAGCCCTGAACACAAAGAAATTTAATTAACTGCTATTTATTAAGCAGCTGAGCTTAATTCCTTGGCCCGGAACTTGCTGTAGCTGCAAAAACAGGTTAAAGTCTCTCCAGGAGCTCAGAGGAGAATGAAGGTAGGGAGCGTAGCACAGGCACGCCTCGGGGGCCCTTCTGGAGGGCCCAGGCCAGCCATTCTTGGCACAAGTTAATTTAAGAAGCTGAGGGATCTGCTGTGGAAGGTCTAGAATTATTTTATGACCTGCGAATGTTCACTACTTAGACTAACTCAGTTTTCCCTTCTCACAAGCATGCAGTTGCTGGTGTCAAGGCATCCGAAGATGCAGTTGTCAGACAACTGAGTTTTTACAAAGAGTTGATAGGAAAACCCAGACGCAAAAGATATGTCCATTACACAGAAAGAAACAGACCCACAATTCAGAGAGAAGGGCATACAGACATCCTCCCCCACTCTCTCTGTCCCGCGCAGCAGTGGAGAAGCCCCCTTTGCTGCTGTTCTCTGCGAAAGAACCCTCTAGTCACTCTCGAGAGTCAGGTTCCCATGGCAGAGGAGAGCCCATATTCGCTGTGGCTTGGACCCAGGATGGTTCTCCTCCCCATCACGGCACATGCCACCAAGCCGCAGGGGACAGAGAGCTTACGTGAAGCAGCTCCTGATCAATTTTCTCTGCTCACTGGGTGGGCTGGGGAGGCCTCATGAGTGAGGGGCAGCCACCCCCTCCAAAGCCATTCTCATCACTCAACGTTGATCGAATCACTAGCAGGCTGGAAGGTTCTCTGACGGGTGGTAAATAAGTACGAGGAGAAGTGAGGAGGAATTGGCTCGTTACATTTCAGACAAAAGGATCCATATCATTCAGAAGAACATGGTAGAGACCACACACACCCACCAGTACGACTTAAGAAATTTACGACAGAAAATACCTCACAGTCTCAGTGTAGACCAGGATTTCGCTAAACGGCAGCACCTAACTAGATAGGAAGCACTGTGGCACTGTCCTCCCATTGTCCATCGATTTGCTCGAGCAGGCCCAGTAACGTCTCCATTGTGAGACTTGTTGTTACTGCGTTTGGCATATCGAATACGTCACGGGGAGCTTGCCAGGCTCTGCCGTGCGGGCGAGATCCTCTCGGTAGCTTATCACTACCAAAGTATACTAAGATAGTCGTGCCAGCTATTTTTCATCACAGAGAACCAGATATCCAAGATAATAAACTTTCTCGACTTAGGAATGGAATTGGAAGTACATTTTCCATGGAAATAAAATAAAAGGCAGCATGGCTCAAGTCTGACTATTCCCTGGTGAGGAATGTTGAGTAACCTGATTTCAATGCTCCGTAGTAATACTAAGGAATGTGCAGTAGTTTTACTTCATGGTCCCAAGTATTGGGAGGAATACTCCCTAATGTCAGTGAGGAAGGGCACAGAGCATTACTTCAATGTCCCCCAGGATGAGTGAGTAATGGTACAACAGCGTTCCTTCAGCACTCCTGAGTACGGAATGGTGCAATAGCGTCTCAGCACTCTCTCGTATCAGCCAGCAGTGAGGCGGCAGCGTTGTATCGAGGGTCCCCAATAACAATGAGGAATAGTGAGGTCATAGAGTTTCACTGCCTCACAGTATTAGTGAGGAATGGTCCAGAGTATGACTTCCACGCGCCCTAGTGCTAGTGAGGAACAGTACTACTTCAGCATAGAGCACTGTAGCGCTATCCTCCTGTTGTTCGTCAATTTGCTCAAGCAGGCACCAGCAACGTCTCCACTGTGAGACTTGTTACTGTTTTTGGTGTATTTGGTATTTTTGGGGAGCTTGCCAGGCTCTGCTGTGCGGGCGGGGTACTCTCGGTAGCTTGCCGGGCTCTCTGAGAGGGACATAGGAATCGAACCCGGGTCGACTGTGTGCAAGGCAAACGCCCTACCCAATGTGCTATCATTCAAGCCTAGTATAGGGGATAACTGTTAATTGTGAGAGTTCACATCAGCTGTCGTTTGAGTTGTTAATGGCGATCTCCAGACATGACCAGAGGTCTGATCAGCATCTTAACAAGGCAGCGAAATCTGCCCACGATCAATCAGTTTATGTCCTCGTGTGTCACCACGAGGACACCACCCCTGGGAGACATTTCCCCCCAAAATATTTACCTAGTTCTACACCGTTACATGATCGTAAATCACAGAGCCCACTTCCAAAGAGAAGTAGAGCTCTGATATAACTCTAATTTTATTTTGGTTTTTGGGTCACACTCGGTGGTGCTCGGGGCTTAGTCCTGGCTCTGCACTCAGGCATCACTCTTGGTGGGGTCAGGGGGAGCACATGGGTGCCAGCAACCAAACCTGATATTAAACTCAAGCGAAAGGAAACAATCAAACCAAGCCTAACGAATAAAATTAGAAATGTCTCAAAGTTTTAACTGTGAAAATTACCACCACATTTGTCCTGCCTTTCATGCCCCCAGAGAGGTGTGCAGGACGGAGATGAATTCCCCAGGGCAGGTCTGTGAGGACAGAGAGAAACCGGGACCACCAGGACAGACAGAGACTCAGGGGTGGGGGACACTAGCCGCAGGGGGACAAGCTGCCCTCCAGGACACGCTGGTGCCCAGCGGGGTCTGCCATGGCTTGGGCCCTGGGGCTACTTTGGGACGAGTCAGTGCATGGCCCCAGGGCTAATGTGCTGGGGCTGGGCTTGCAGTGGTTAGGGGGCATGTTTGGGAGAAGCCATTACGAGGTGTGGGCTGGGGGGGGGGGTCTGAGGGCACATCTGGTTGTCAAGGGCTCGAGGGCTTGGCAGTGCCCATGGTGCCAGCCCACAGGCCCCTGCTCCGGCTCCCCCCACTGAGAGAGTCGCCAGATGCTGCCCGGCAGCCCATTCCCACACCTGTCCTCGGGGAATGTGGGTGCCCTGAGAGGTCAGCCGTGTCCACGCAGTGCACGGACACACCCGGACATGTGACCTGCACCCTCGGCCTCTGGAGAATCTGGGGACTCAGTTCCAGTATGGCCATGCCCGACCAGTGCTGGAAGGAGGTTCAGGCCACCCTGTCCCCTGTGTCTAGCAGCGAGGGCCCCACAACCCACTGCCGGCTTCTGCTCCTGGGAGAAGTCCACAAGGGGGCAGCAGTGGGCACCCACACCCGTGGGTGTCCCTCACCCTCAGGACACAGCACTGGCCCGTCCACAGCGCCAGAGAGAGCACGCAAGCCGCGAGCAGGCTTACCTCCAGAGTGCGCAGGTGGCCCGCACAGCAGCACCACGCCCTGGCCCTGCCGCACAGACACGGGGCTCCTCGCTCGCGTCTGGAAGTTCTCGAGATCTGGGGGGAAACAGAGGCAGGTCAGGAGCGCGACCGCAGGCTCCTCCGGGGAGCTGCACCCCCCCCCCCCGCCCAGTTCCACCTGCCCTGAAGCCTCTCAGCCCCCGTGACACAGGACATGGGGGTTCCTGGGGTGTGGATGGAAGCTCCCGGAAGGACCTCTGGCAGGAGCCACCACCGCCAGGAGGTGGGCGCCAAGCACCGGCCCCACAGCCACAGCGTGCGCACAGGCCAGGCCAGTCCTCCGCGCTCACACGGGAATGGCAGATGAAGGGCCGCATGCACACATGTGCACACACACACCCGGCACACACATACACACCATGGACACACACGTACACACCCACCCACAACCATGCACACATGTGTGCACCGACACTTGTGCACACACGCACACACACATTATGCACACACACAGGCACAGACACACATGCACACAAGTGCATGCACACCATGTAAATGTGCACACACATTCCAAGGACATACATGTGCACACATATGTGCACACGTACATACACCATTCACACACATGCTCTCACTCTGGCTCATCTGGAAACATCCCTGAGACGTGGCCCAGGCTGCCTGTGGAAATGTCCCCCGTCCAGCTCGCTGCAGGCCAGAGGTCACACACCACAGCCCAGTTGCATGAGCTGAGAGGTGGTCAGTACCGAGTTGGCATCTTGTCTACGCCAGAAACTGATGTGCCAGTGTTCAGAGTCGGGCATTTCCCCTTGGGGCAGCCTGGGGCCCGTTTCCCCTGCAGGGTCTCAGCTTGTGCTGGTCAAGCCCCTTGCAAGGAGGAGGTATCTCGGCTGGGCTGGTGCACAGACTGGGCTCTCCAGGCGGTCACCCTGGGAACCCCAAGGGACAGTCGTCTCAGCAGATCCTGGAGCGATCAGGGGACTGATTCCACTCATGCCCCCACTTTGTGGACAGGGAAAGAGGCAGGTCGGGGCTGGGGAGATGGTGCGGGGGAGTCACAGAGCCGGTGCACGCCGACCCGGCTGGATTCCCTGAGCCATGAGGACCCTGGGCATCACAGGAGCCACCCTGGAACGCCCAGCATCCCGGTGACTCCTGGCGCCCCAGAGCCTGGCAGGAGTGGAGCCTCGGACCCTGGCTGTGAACTGCGGGTGTATGAGTCGGGGCTTGCCAGCAGCCGGCTGGGGCTCCCCAAGCACCTCAGGAGAGCCTGGGGAAGAGGCATCGCAGCTGCTGATGGACAGCAGGCCGGGCAGTCTCCCTCCTGCCCCTGCGGGCTGGGTCCTCAGGGGACTTTGGGGAGCAGGAGATGCGGCAGCATCCCTGTCTCGCCGTGTCCTCCAGGACGCGGCACGCCTGAGCTTCGACATCACGTTTGTCAAGGATGAACATTTCCTTGGGACCCCTGGGTGCCCTCTCAGGGGTAAACACAGTGGGAAGCCAGCAGGAAGTGACTCCAGAACTAGTGTCCCTTATCCCTGGGCCCTGACAATGTGGCAAAGTGCCTGAAGCGTGCTCAGCTCGGACTGCAGAGCCCAAGCCGGCCCCACACTGGGTGCGTGGGGCTCCACACTTGGGGTGCCGGGAGTGGCTATAGGAGCTTCTCTCTCTTCTCTTCATGGAGATTTCAAGGGGTTCATCATGACTGTAAACCACCAACCAGCAAGTGCGCTGAGTCGGTCTGAATGGCCACTTCAGCAGACAGGTTCTCGGAACGAGACTGAAAAACGCCCTCCACACCCGGAGGAGACGGGACACTCTGAGCTGATGGGCAGTGGGGCAGCTCTTAGCCGATGACCCTCTCCAGCATGCTGAGAGAAGGGATGAGAGAAAGAGTCGCTAACGCTTCCTACGGAGCTGAAAGCTAGCTTCCTGGGCCACCCTTGAGTTTTCGTGGTTCCACGTAAGCCTGGTAAGGATGTTTTGACAGGGCTCTTAGCTGCTGACTGAAGCAGACGCCGCCTGAGCTAAAGGTCAGCCTGACTCGAAGTCAGAGCAGCGTGGCTGACCCCGGGCAAGCCTTTCTCATCAATAAAGTGGGAAAACAGGTGCTTGGTGGTGTGGGAATACCGACGGGTTGAGATGTAATAAGACAGAGATGCATAAGAGCTGGAACGCACTGGTAGGCGTGTTTGGGGCTCAGCGTCCACTGGGGGACGCCTTCCTCCAAGTTGGCCTGCATCGAGGTGCTGTGTCCGGCGGGTTCCACATAACAGATGCACCTGAGAGTTGGTGGCCACTCAGGCCTCCCATGGGGAGCGCCACGCGGCCTCGGCCGTCTCAGCCCTGCCTCTCCCTGGGGCCCGAGTGGTGAGCTGTGTGTTAATTTTCCAAATCAAGAATCTCGTCGGCGGATGGGCAGGTTTCAAAGCCCGCACACCTGGGCCCAGCACGGCTCCCACACACACTTTTCCCTGAGAGGTCTTTCATTCCGGAAGCCGCTGGCACACGCCCTGGCAAGGAGCAGCGGGCCACGGAGAGTCGGAATCCATTATGGGTAATGAACGCTCCGTCGCCATAACAGGCCACTAATAGCAAGAATAGCATCAATTTGCAAAATGTATCAAGGTCAGACCATGTGTGAAATACTTTTCATATGGCGCTCATTTAATTCCTTTATCATTTAAACTCCTGATCTGCAGGTGAGAGGGCTGAAGTCCATCGCCTTCTCCGTGCACAGAGCCGAGAGGCCAGAAGAGGAAACCGCATCTCTGCCCAAAGCCACTGAACTGGAATCCAGACCTTGGGGGCTCCCGGGGAAGGGGAATCTCCCTCTGGATGTGGGAGATCACGCCCGAGACTCACAGTCAGCCCGATGGATTTGACGCTCTGTGTGGGTCATAAAAACACGAAACACACACCCAAACGCCTCACTACCGTGAGTGAGCCAGAGCATCTGGTTCCGATCTCCTACTGTCCTGGTCTCCGCAGGTGAGCCCTCAGCAAGACTTTTAAACACCGAGAGCAGCCGGTGAACCTGGCTGGGGGGGCGTTACAGGAAGGGGCTTTGAGGAGGCAGGTGTTTGGGTGGGGGTGGGGAGTCGGTTCTGCCCTTCGTCACAGAGGCCTGTTACAGCTACAGCTGGAGTGAACTTTATGGGGCCCCAAAGGAATCTGCATCCTTGCCTCAGCTTCTCAGGAAGCTGGCTCTCCTGGCTTTTCATGGAGTTAAAAAAAATGGCAATCCATTCTTGGTGGTGATTTCATTCCTCAGCATTCTGCATAAATTCTTCCAAAACCACGTGCTAAGAAACGTACAATTTTATGGCAGATATGTTTCCGTATCGTATTTTTTCTGTGAAGACAACTGTCCTTTATTCTCCTAGAGAATGTAACCTCAGCATTTTATTTTTAAACAAGATTACAAAATACGTTTTCCGTACTTGGGTGGATATACTTATTGAGGACGCAGAGGAAGCGATTGAGCAGTTAATTCCTGGGGGAGTTTCAGTGTCCGAAGGCCCTAAGGCTGCAGTATGTGATAAATAATAAAAAGCCTTCCTATGAAAACATTTGGAATTCAGGTTGCAGAGCAAATCAGAACGTGAGGAGAAATGTGCCCCTATTCCTGTCCTGGGAGTTATTAAATGCTGCGTGGGGGCGTGGCTTCCCACAGCAAAGATCCACGGTATGGATGAGGAGGCAGATGCAGACCCCTGCAGACCCTGCAGTCACCTGCAGACCCCTGCAGACAGCAAAGACAGTGGCCAAAGAGAATCCGTTTGGGTCACACTCAGTGCAAGCCGGAGTCACGGTCAGGCAGCCGACACCCGGACAGGCACAGGACATTTGCTGAAAAAACCTGAGTGCCCGAGAACAGATGACTGGTTAAAGAAACTTTGGTACATTTACACAATGGAGTACTATGGAGCTGTTAGAAAAGACGAAGTCACGAAATTTACACACAAGTGGTACAACATGGAAAGTATCATGCTAAGCGAAATGACTCAGAAAGAACGGGATAGACATAGAAAGATTGCATTTATCTGGGGAACATAAAATAGGAGGCTAACACCCAAGAATGCTGAGATTAGTACCAGGAATTTTACTCCATGGCTTGGAGGCCAGCCACACATGCTAGGGGAAAAGGGAGCTCAGATAGAGAAGGGAGCACCAAATAAAGGATGTTGGGAGGATCCTCCCAGGGTGGGAGAAGCATGCTGAAAGTAGACTCTAGACCAAACATGATTGTCACCCATTGCCTCTTTTGCAAACCACAACACCCAATAAGAGAGAGAGAACAAAAGGGAATGCCCTGCCATAGAGGCAGGGTGGGATGGGGGGATGGGGGGTGGGAGGGATACTGGGATCCGTGGTGGTGGGAAATGGGCACTGGTGGAGGGATGGGTATTTGATCATTGCATAATTGAAACCCAAGCACAAAAATTTGTAAGTCTACAACTGTACCTCATGATGTCTCACTAATAAAATAAAATAAAATCAGCCACAAAGGAACAGATAACGGCACGCCACAGTCGGCTAGGAATCTACAGAGAGGAGAAATCACGCCGCGAAACACGCAGCATCCACACTGAATGTATGACTTTGTACCACAAGTTGGAAAAGTCCAGATTCCTTCTCCTCCTGACCAGGGTGGGCTGCATTCTCCCACACACAGTGCGTCTGGGCAAGACATTGCCAGAACGGGTTATCTCTGGGGCCGCCCCCTTCAATCTTGGGGGAAAGAAAGGACACTCAATAAGGAAATCAATATCACATGGAAAATGGTCCGGCAATATATCTGTTCTGAATATGGTTTCTATGACGATCGCAGCAGGTTTAACGAAAGGGTCTTCCCGGCACCCCGGAACTCTGGGTCACGTGGGCATCACAGTCCCAGCAACGCCTGAGCGTGCGTGGCAGGCCCTTGGCACCCGTCCGCCTGCATTCTCGGGGCTCACACGGGAGGCGAGGCCACACTCGCAGACCTTCAGAGTTGGGGCTGGAGTGAGAGCACAGCGGGAGGGCCCCGGGCTTTGATCCTGGGCACAGACGGGTGGGCCCACAACGAAAGAGAG